GGCCTGCAGCAGCCCAGCCGGCCAAGCCTTCCTGTACAACCGCAAAAGATGTGAGAACTCCAGTCACTCAAGACAGCTCGGACTCGTCTCTCGTACCAGGATCTTTCAGCCGTCACAGCCCTGGCACTAGCGAGAGAGTACAGACACTGATTGGGAGTGAGTGTCTGTGCATTGACTGGACACTAGTTTGCACAGCATGCCGATTACACTGGTGCGAGTTTCGCCAGAACGGCACATCGGGATATATAGATACTAGTAACTTGGTCCTGGAGGTCGCAACATCCCATCGGGGCTGCTAGGACTCTGAAGCCATGCCAGGAGCTTCAGCTACGCTTTCCACAGTAGTCGGAAGGCCACAGCGTAAGTGTATGTGTCAATGTTAGTACTTGTTCCTTGGACGAAATGCTGTGAAGTCTGCAGGGCCATCACGCTTGCTCTTGCACATGGTCCGCATGCAGTAAGCCTGGGTGGAGCTGGGAGAGGTTGCCGACAGACGGCTGCGAAGGAACGATGCTGAGGAAGGAAACTAAGTTTTCACGGCTTTGGACCGCCGCAGCTTTTGCCCCCACGCATCCCCTGCTTCGTGCTTGTGACACAGCTTGGAGATGAAAGCCGTCTGCAGCAACAGAACTGAAAAGCACAGGCCAGTATCGTTGTGTATCATCGCATCAACACTGCATCCAGCTACTGCCAAGCACCCCTCGCATGTCCGAAGCATGGCATTTGGAATGCCAGTGGACAAGCGTTCTCTAATGAAAGCCAGTAAGCTCCGCGAGTGCGTGCTGGCCACGCAGGCCACGCAACTGTACAAGACTCAAACTCTCTGTGCACTGGCGAAGTCACTGACCGACCCTCTTAACCATGTAGTGCACGCTGCAGTCGTCGTTGTAGGACTCCAGGCGGCGATCCCGCCACTCCTTTTGGTCGGTGTCCTGGACGGGCTCTTGGAGAGTTATGCACTACTGACTACTGTCGAGAGATTGTGCAAGTCATTCATTCACTGCAAGAGTCAGGTGAAACCGCCTGAGATGTTCCTTCCAGAATGCTCCAAACTGCGTGCCTCTGCAGTGAAGCCTGGACCGACAAAGTAAACAAACACACCTGACAGTCTGAAGAGTTCCAAGTTTCTAGGTGTTTTCCGCATGGTACCATGATAAGCCTTCGGCATACTCGAGAGTCGAGAACTTGGCTGTACACGCTTTTGATGTGTTTGAGCTTATGCCTGTACAAACCCGCGCTACCGCATGCAAGCAGCACACCACGGAAGGTGCTTGCCCGCCAACTCGCAACAGGAGAGAACTCACACGGTAAACTTCCAGGCCAATGCGAACGCGATAATTCTGGGTTCAGTCCTGGAATCCCCAGTTCTGATGCGCAGCCAAGGCCGGCAGTGCTCTGCCATTGAAGGCGCGGCCGTCTCAAGTGAATGGGCAGGCAGCAACACAAAATCCGTGGCTGCGAGAAGTGGTCCAATCCAACAAATGCAAATCATTTCAGTCGCCGCCCTTAAGTTCATGATATGAGCATTGACCCTCCCAGCCTTGGCTCAGGTCACATGCACTGAACAGCTCACTATGGCCAAGCAGTAGTGCTACCTGACAGGGTGCCATGCCAAGGGTATCCCATCACGTCGCATCATCTGTAGAGCCGTAGAAAGCCCGGCCTCCTCGGCCGCTAAAATGAGGTAGTATGCCTCGAAGACTGGCTACAGAAAAACCACTCACTTACAGGACCCTTGCAAGACGGTAGCCTTGGCTCCACAGTCCGGCAGTCGAGCAATGTACTCCAGCACCACCCCGCCCTGACAAAAGAAGTCCACTGAAGGCCCTTCATTGGTGCTGGGATCTTCTCCGAGGTCTTGCCTGCAGCTGCCGCGGACCAGCTGCGGTGTAACGTTGCCAGGACAGTATTGCTACTGCCACCTCGGATGAAAACCAACTGACCCGGCCCCGCGGTTTGCTTCCTGTTCTTCCTTTCGAGCGTAGACTCAGCAAGACTCACAGGAGCCGGATGAGCCAGGGTGCCATCTGTCCAGGCTCAGCAGAAGACTCGGATTCCTTCTGGCGAGATGACAGACATCCCCAATTTGCTGATGTGACAACCCGGATCGTCCTGCCAAAGGAGCCAAACTTTGGACGGCTCCACCCTGGAACCACCTGACAGCGATCCATGGCCAAGAAAACTCGAGAGCTTTTGCATCAACGAGACATGACACAAAGCTTTGAGCGGCGTGTCAGTCAAATGAGTGATATCATACGATCGGTTTACGACAGTCCAATACAAAGCTTCCTGCCCCGAATCCAAACTTGTCGCATCACTCTCGTTCAAGCTTACAGCATCCAACCCCGTCTGTCCGTCCCACCCGTCCTTTTCTGCAGTCTGTCTACCACTGTGTCTATGGCTGAATCATGCTGCGATTGCACCGATAGTTTGGTAACACAACCCTGGGTACCTTTGTAAACAGGTTTTGTCTCAATTAAAATTAACTGATGCTCGCCGTGTTCTTTGTAGTTGTTCCACACTCCCGAGCACCATCATTGCATGCCTGACAGTCGACATGACAGCACGAAGCTCGCACATGCAAGTTAATCGACAACTTGCGGCTTGTGGCACAGAAGTGGGTGCATCTGAAATATTGACATGATTGGCTTGCGGAACGAGCAGGGACATAGTATTCTTCATCTTGGTCTATCTTGCAAGTCTAGCACCTTGGCGGCGCTTGCGACGGAGGCCAAGCAGCAAGGAAATGGTCTTTGCTGCCGCCTGAAGCCGCGCAAGAGCCTATGCTAGTTTGGCAAGATGTACTTCGGCCGCTACATATGCTTTGCAGCTGTCTCAAGTCCATGAGGCTGCGCCAACTTTCAAGGATCATGAAAATGCCCGCATATTACCCGATAAGTATCAAGACGGATATAGGGCGCTCACCAGACAACAACACCGAACAACACGGGCTCCAGCTCCCGCTCGACGAGGCCCGAGGCCGGCCTCGTCCTCGAAAGCCGTCGCGAGAAGCTGCTCTGCCTGCAAATGCTCTTCATTGCTGTGTGTCTGAGGCTCTAAGCAGCTACTACGCGCTACTTCTACTTCGGAGGGGGTGGCCTCTAAGAGCCGTTGCCGACCCGCAATCGCGATTGGTGCAGCAAAGACCTGCGGTGCCGCTGCACACAGCGTCGTACCCGGGCGCCAAAGGTCCCAGAAGCCAAGCGGTAACAGGCGAGGCCTCCACGCAGATTGCACTTTGCACAAGAACATGGGGCATGGGCCCTACGACGAGCAGAGCCGAGTGGTGCCTGCTCTCGCGTGAGATACACGGCCTGCCCATTCGGGTCAGCATCCCTGGAACGCCGGCACAAGAGACGAGCGCTGTCTTCTTATCCTTCCGGCCACAGTGTTCGCCGATCATACAGCACGTGAACTTCTCTTCTCGCCAGTGGTCGAAGAGGAGCTGATCCACAACGTACCATCGCGGGCATACGTCGCAGCCGATGTGCAGCACCTTTGGGGTCGCTGCATCGGAGCTCTCCGATGGAGGAGCGTCCTGCACAAGAGGAGATTCGGGAAGAGTATGATCCTGTACTTGGCGGTACTTCGTTAGAACGAGCTCGTAGCAGCATTGACTCTTGGCCAGGCTACCGTTGTTTCCATGGCATCGTCCATGAAATCAGCTGGAGGGCTGGAAAGCTTGGCCGCGGTGTGGACTTCAACTCGCATCTGAGGAATGGGGATGGCTTCATGTATTTCCTTAGCTATCCGACTCAACTTGCACCACCTCCCGTGCAATCAACGTCGCACTTCGTCAGTCCGAACTGCTCTGTCATGCTCTCTTTCGTCATCCGCCTCGGGGGAGCTGGGGACCACCTGCACTGCAGCACTGCAACAATGCGGGAACTTCATCGTTCCCTGTCCCCTGTCACGGACACTCTGCCACTGGCCTCTACGCTTGGCATGCTTCGGCGCATTCGGAAATGAGCAGCCAGGTCTAGACCGCGACTGCCAACCTCAAGTTCCAACACCCCTGAAGTGAGACCGGACACATACTACATCATGGATGGGTGTTGGTGTGTCAAGCTGGTCATACATGAGCGAGCACGCTACCCAAAATGAAGGCCTACCGGAGACAGCAACACCTTCGTGACAGGATGAGAACTTGGACAGACTGATATGTTTCGAGAAAGAGGAGATGCTTGCTTGGAATGAGTGGGATCTGAAAAAGCGGCCGTCGGCTTCCGAGCTCCTGGCAACCATCAGCTTTCTCTTTTGCACGTCATGGCATCGAGCACAGCGCACCACACCATCGCGGCGACGACCTTTCAGAGTGTGGCTGCGCAAAGGCTGCAAGGTCTTCAAGCACACTGAGCTGACCGAGCTCTCCACGGAGCCCTTGCTCCGGACCATTTCTGTGGTTCTCGTCCTCACAGCCGTCAATCGGAACCTGATGGCAATGCTGTCAATGCTTGTGCATTGCCTCGACTAGGGTGAAGGTGGAGCGAGGCTGGCGCCGTGCTCTCAGCATCATCCGGGGATTCTGGCGGAACTTGACGTTTGACAGTGCCGACGCATCGCAGATTGCTTTGAACATGGCAGCATTGCCGGTGCCTGCCACGGTCTGCACAGTGGCCGCAGCGGCGCTGCGCTTGGTTCCACGAGCCATGGCGGTGCAAGAAGTTCTTTTGACGGACACAGAACGCGCCCACTACGTGGCCTCAGCTCTTCCCTTCAACTATGAACATGACTGACTGGCGATGCCGGCGATGCCCTCGCTTGCAAGCTCCCATTACCCGTTGGTGAGACATCATGGTCTATGCACCCTCCTGATGTACCAAAGAGCTAGCGGGAATTCGGCTGGTGCGTCCAATGGTAGATGTTCTGCTGACTATTGGAACTAAGCGTGATGGAGAAAGAATGTCGAGTGGACGCTTAGCTCGCCAAGATGGGCTTTTCGGCTGTGGTTTTTTGCTGCGTCCCTTAAGGACCGTAGCTCTTGAAACTGTCAGGCTATTTTAACAGCCGGTACAGGTTTTCCGGCAAAGGGCTTCGAATCCAGCGTCGAAGCACCAGCCAAGTGCCTGCCCATCCGCACAGGTAGCCACCTCTCCGATGGGCGGAAAGGTCGTGTCCTCGCATCTGGGGAAGCAAAACTCTGGGCAGCCGGCAGGGGCTTCTGATGGGTCGGCCAGGTCCAGGTTGGTGCACCCACAGCTCTCTGGACAAAGGCGAGCTAAGGGTGCAAAGAGGTTCTCGTAGCCTTCGCACCACCTCCAACCCAAGACTACTTCGCGTTCCCACCGACTGCTGTTCAAGGCTGAGCAGCCCTGCAGCTTCATCTCTCGCGCCATTTCTGCGACCTGCGACCCTACCGTATTGTTGAACAGGGACTGACGTGTGCTATTCTCCAGCACACTCGGGTATGCATCCCAGAAGGCGTCCCATGAAGGCGTTGAGTTCGCGTGTATATCTGCACAGGTGCGGGTACCGCTGCTGTCTGCCTCTTGCAAACACCCGGCCGGACAGCCCAGGGCTGTGACCTTGAACCAGGCAGCATTGCGGATCGAGCTGGAGCAGCAAGTCTGTCCACATACCAAGCGCACGAGCGAGCCAGAATCCAGATCACAGAACTGGGCCATGTCTTCGCATGAAGTGTTTTCAGGCAAGCCTAGCCCTGCTAAAGCTGAATGCCAGTGAGGAGAATAGTAACCTGCGATGCCCTCGGGCGTGTTTCCTGGAAGGAAAAAGCCATCGAAGTCAAGACACCAGCTCGCAATTTCCCCTGCAGTCTCCGTCATCAGCATCGTCCGATATTGATTGAAGCGCTGAAGGTCTGCTTGCATCAGAATGTACTTGGCTGACTCATGTTCAGCATCTTTGAAGATAAGTTCATCAACAGCACGCTGGCTGACAGTTGTTCCCTGCACGTCTTGAAAGGGCACCGTACTGAAGCCAACGGTGACCTTGATATCCTCAGCAAGTGCCACAGCACGGGGAACCGCATTAAGCTGAGGAGTGTGCAACATCCCGAGAGCTAGCTCTCTGTCTCTCTCCCGCGCATAGGGATCGGTCAGGATCCCCGGGCTCCAGGGGGGGTGAGGAGAGCGAGCACAATTCCCCCTGTTCTAGCTAGACATTGCATTGCCTGCACTGGACGTCTCAAGTTCAGCCCAGAGGCTTCGTTAAATGTGACAACGAAGTCCTGATTCCCATCGCAATACGCACGCTTTACCGTCTCCATCGTCCGGGCCAGAGGCTCCAAGATGCCGAACCAGGGCCAAGCCAAGAGCCCTACCATGACCGTCAAGATCAACACCGACTCCGCCTGACTCCGGCGGCGGCTGTAATGAACCTTAATGGCCTCCAGATCCTGAATTTTCAGCTGCAGCTTCTTGGGCATCAGGGCGGAAAACACCATCTCATCCACTTGGAGGATCGCCCCCAGCGCCTGCTCAGGGAAAGCCCAGGCCCAAGGGGCCCACGTGGGCCTCAGAGAGATTTCTCAGAGCCGAGCAGCGACGGCGTTGAGGATGAGGTCCTCGATGGCTTTCGTCCCGCCCAGCCAGAGGATCCCAGCATAGAGAAGGGCTAAGGCTATCCCAGCCCGCAGCAGGCGAAGCCCGACATAAGACCAGAATCGCACGTAGGACAAGGTCTCAAACCTTCCCTCGTGCTTTCTGGTTTTCTCAGAGCGAGGAATCTGCAACACTGCCTCCAGCGAGAGACCGATTGTGCGGAATTCATTCCCAACGTAGAGGCACCTGGGGCACAGACGATACTGGATTGTCTGCCGAACACTGAAACTGGCATGCATTGGCCAAGGAACCACAGCAAGATGCAAAGCATCGACAGTAAGATGCCGGGTCGGAAGTTCTCGGTCTGGAACATGTGTTTGTCAAGCCCGAGAAAGTTGTCGATGTCCTGGACCAAGTTCGCCTGGTCTCGAAATTGAGCCATGAAGTGCCAGAGACACACGTGCTAGAATCCAAAAACAGCACTAGCCTGCCGCTACAAGAGTTGCAGGTGGCTGCCTGGGAGTTGGACAGGATCAGGCCACCGTCGTTGTTGCAGACACGGGCAGTGAGGCTTGTCCGAGCCAGGTCCATGTTCTTCGCATCGTGTGCTACGCTATTCCGCCATTCCTGTGCTACAGTCACTTGCGCCTCATCGAAAGGATCCCCAAGAAAAGACGGTGTCAGCAGGATCACGCTGAAGGTGATCTGCATCCCGGCACTGGCAAACAGAAGCAGCCAACCGATTGCCAAGTCGATCCAACCAACACCTGCATGGCCTGCCACTAGGACCAAATTCCAGGTCGTCTCCAAAAAAGCAACCGGATCCATTGGGTCTTCAAGTGGAGGATCGCGGACCTGGACCTCAACGAAATCCGCCTTGTCCCCTTTCGGCTTTTCCGGTGGCTGTTCAGCGTCGAGCCCTGAACGTGGCCGCGGCCCATCGTCCACATCCGCACACGTGATCGTCTCCTCCACTTTGTTGCTGTCTTGCATCAACTCCGCTTGCAGTCGTTGCTCGAGCGCAGCCAGTCGCGCAAGGCACCTGGGCACTCACTGAACAGCTGAACAGTGCACTCAGTGCACAAACAGCCTCGTTTCACTTGACCTCCTCGTGGCGACAAACAGATTGGCGCGGTGCTTGGGCCGATTTGCTTCTTGGGCGGATTGTTGGGCGGGCGGGGCCCAACGTTGAGCCCTGGAGTAATGAACCTATGCGCACCGTTCTCACGCCTTGTCTAGACTACTCGGAATCAAACAACGTACAAGCCCGGTGCTCAAGCTTGGGTATTCGCAGCAGCAAGCCCCAAACATCCCCAAAAGCTGCCGAAGGAGAATCGGCTAATCAGTTTCAAGCTGCACTACCAAGGAGTTCTTGTCCCCAGCGCAAGCAAGGACTGGATCAGTACTTTAACTAGACAAACCACACTAACATGCACGTAACGCACGCTTGCGCGGCCCAAACCCTCAGACGGTCCCAAGCGTCTTGCAATCCGCCCCTTGCGACACTCCTGGGAACTCCCGGTCTGAAAAAGGTAAAGGCACGGCTCCAGCTTCGCATCCAGCTCCAATAGAAACTCGTTTCGCATTCGCCGCTCCAGGTTAGCCATGTTCTTCTCGAGTTTGGATGCAGACATGGCCGACACAAGCCCAAGTGCAGTTCGATGCTGTCGGATAGAACGGTTGGCCCACGCCGGGTTTCGTGCTTCCAGGGCATGGAATCTGCACAAGCTCTGCATGGTTACGTGCATGTTGCAGCAGCTCTATGTGCTAATGCTGTAAGGCCTTGAACCTCAGACAGTGCCAGGTGGACCGTGCTTTGTCGATGTCGCCAAACCCATGCAAGACCTTCTTCAAGCAACGCTTGATGAACAACATTTGTGTTATGCAATACGCGACTCACTGGAGCAATTCCGCTTCGCGGAGCTCTGAGTGGAAAAGCGCATCCGTGATGCCGATTGCTGCTCAGCAGCGAGGAATAATGATCAATAGTGAACAAAATGGCGCTTAAACTCTCTGAGTTTCATAAACATGCATATCGCGCCGCAGACGCTGCTCTGTTTCCAGGCACGCGACGAGATCCTGGTAGTAACAAGAAAAAGTATCTGTCAGAATCCCTGGGGACCTGGGTAGTTGAGGGGTTGGAGCATTGAGACACTAAGAATTGTCCTCGTGATCGTGGTTCTTGGCCAAGTCGAGGGGAGTCAGCCTGGGTTTTGCAGTGCACTCAACAGCTGTCTTACTGATGGTGCCAGCTGCCACCACAGGAGCAAATTGTCTCCCCAGGTGGCCTCAACATCCGCATCATGCTCCATGAGAAGCATGGCAATCTGGCGACGGAGGACACGGAACAGGCCATGTTGTGCATCATGCTCCATGACAAGCATGGCAATCTGGCGACACCGCCACACGAGAGCGTGAACATCAAAGCGCAAACACATACACATGTAAACAACGGCCTGCAAGCTGCCGTTCAGAGCAGCCACATGCAGTGGCGTCCCCCCATTCGACAAGGCTATGTTCCAGTGGACCGAAGTTGCATTGCCCATTTGGATCTTCTTTTGGCAAGCCCAGCAAACAGTTGCCCAAAGGCAGTTCTTAGCCAAGCCACGCAGGTTGGGATCTGCCCGTGCTTGCAGCAACAGCTCTGCATGTCCAGCATCTGTGTTGAAAAGGCAACTGAAGGAGAGTGCTGTGGAGCCGATGTAGTTCATGAAATTTGGGTCTGCCCTTTGCTCCAACAATATTCGAGTGCAGTCGACATTCGATGCTCCTGCTGCCGCCAAGAGGGCGTTGCCACCTAAAGTCGTCGGATAATTCATGTCTCCTCGCCTCTCGATGAGCGTTGCAAGCACGGATGAATTGCCAAAGTAGGCAGCCTGCACGACCACCCCTGCGCCACTAAGACCAGAAGGAAGGTCCAAGGATGCCCGTGCATCCAACAAAGCCAGAACTGCCTCCTTCGAAGATAAGGACGCGGCCAGCGAAAGCGCTGTCACAACCGTCCCGTGAATGTGAGCCTCAGGGAGCCTCCAAGAGATGCGCTCATCAACTTGAGCTTTGGACTTCAACAGCTCTCTCATGACCGAGATGTTGCCCTCAAGGCTTGCGAGCATCAGAGGGGTCATTCCTTCAACGACCGAGCGAGCATCCAGAAGGCTGTACCGATCCAGAAAATCGTCCAGGTCTTCATTCAAAAATTCTGCACGGCCACGGGCTTTGGGTTGCAAGGCTTGGTAAAATCGCCAATGGCTTTGGCCGCTGCGCAGCAAGTTAGAGCACTTTGTCGCCAAGAGCTCTCCCGTCAACTCTTGTAGCACCTTTCGGTCCTCTTCGACTGTAAACCTTCCCTGGCCAGGCCAGCTTGTGACCCATTCAGGCCCTGCTGAGATAGCCATTCTTGTGGGGCTTGAAACCACAAGCAACGCCTTCCTGCCCGCAGAGAAGACCGTGGCAGTGCGCTCTGCGCGGCACCAACCTCGACTACCTGGCGGCCACATTTCCACAAGCTCTTCCGGTCTGTTTCTTGTCAGCTTCACGGCCCTACGGCCTAAACGGGTTAGGATGGTTAAGGTCAGGTTACCAACAATTCTCGAAACAAAGGGCAGGGTGTGGCTCTGAAGCACGACGACAGTAGAAGACCGTACAACAGACTCGGCCACGCGACCCCAAGAGCTCGTTGACAACACTTTGCGTGCTTCGTTGTGCAGAAGCGACGGCGCCAAGACTATGGTGTAATCAGCTTTGTCGCAGTACGCCGGGATGCTCGCAATAGCGTCAGCAAGTTCGCCCTTGCTGGCACTCATTTCTTCCATGCTGGCTTCCATATCAGGCGCAACACTCAACTGTGGGCAGCTGATGTAGTCATACCAGAAATCCCAGTCCAGGCAGTTGTGCTGCTCTTCATCAGAGGGCATTGGCAAAGGAATACGTAGGATTTCAGAAACGGTGTCCTTGCGGATTCTTGCCATGCCTGTCCGAAGATTCTCGAGAGCCAACTGGAGCACTTTGAACTGTTTGAAGTCCGGATCGGGATGGTACGTGCCGAGCCATTCGTGACTGATGAAGACGACCGTGCGTGGATGTCCCGGCTCCCACCTGACTAGTTTGCCTTGTTGTAACAGCGTCTCGTGGGGCAAGAGTGGGTGCTCCAATTGCGCCAGCACCGAGCCAGGAATCAGCCACATGGGAAATTTCATCGGAAGGCCACCACCGGAGGACACAGCCTCCTGAAGTTCCGCTCGAATCTCCTCCAAGTTCACACTCGAACATGTGGTCCCCATCTTTGCCTGCTGCACCGTCTGCAGAAAAGTGTAAGCCTGCCTACAAGGGAGCCATCGCCCACGGGGCTAGTTGCAGCGATGTATAATCAGCTGTAGATTGGCGATTGTTTTGGCTAAATGGACGTGCTTAAACATGCATGAAACGAAAGCACCTCTGGACACTGACCGTATGACGAACAGGATCTAGCCAAAACTCAAGCAGTGCGGCGCCGCTGTCCCGTGTGCCCACTGCTTTTCTACAGTTTCATCTTGCATCTCCTGTTGCGTGGCTTGGGGATGTGCTGGATGCCAACTAGCACGGACACCTACTTCCAAGAGAGGGTTACATTGATATGTTGTGACGTGTCACCGCCTCGGCAACCGTTCCGTGGACAAGACCGCCTCGCTTGAAAGTAGTGCTTCGAATCAACCGTCCGGGAAGCAGTTATCATCACACTATCTCCAGAGATTGAAAGAAGCAGTCGTCGATCTTCAACAGCATTGCATGGCTTGCCAACTAAACCGCTGTGTTTCAACCACGAACCCATTTTTCTCTGAGAAGTCTGCTCTCCTTCGCTGCTCAGAGCGGGACCTCACACGAATGGATCAGGGAGTCCAGAAATAAAGCATACAGTCTGTCTGTGCATGGGATATGTGGTTGTCAGAATCATGCAGTCGATGCGGATTGACAATCGCCTGGTATGAAAAAGCAACCCCTGCCCCATGCTGTGGTAGGACAGCTGATGACAGGCTTCTCTTCAAGCTTCGTGTACCCATCACGCCTTGACCTCTCCGTGGCAAAGGAATGTACCTCACTTTGGTCTGGAGACGTGAAGATGTGCTTTCGTTCTAACTTCATTGCAAACCAGTCATTGCAAGCCGGCAACAAAATGTGCCACAGACAGACATGTCCACCTGCTCAACGAATGCTCGGTTGGAAAGCGCAAAGTTGCCACGAGCTTCCTGCACCTGAGCTCAAGCGAAACACCAATCAGCATCACAAACGTCGAATGACTTCCTCTTCGAATTCTGACACTCTACAGCAAGCACCCTGCAATTCTTAAGACCTGAAAGGCACCTTGTGCACAGCGTCCTCTGGCAATGCTGCTTCAGCCACGAGGAACGCAGCGGCCACTGCCCCTGCACCTTGGCTGCGCTGCACGAGCAAAAACAAATCCAACCAGCCTCTCTCTCTCTCTCTCTCCCCTCTCTCCCTTTCGCCGGGGCTAAGGGTGAAGGGGTTCCCCCCTCTCTGTCTCTTTGTCCTTTCCCCTTTCCCCTTCCCCTTCCGCTTTCACTTCCCCGCACGCAAACGCGCACCTGCAGTCCGCAGGATTTGATCCGTCCCCTCCTGACTTTGTCAAGAGGAGCTCAGCTGTACTGTTGTTCAGCACTTCCCCCTTCGACTGAACGGTGGTTCCTCAAAACAGCGTACACCCTAATACAATGCGACTAAGCCCTACAGGCCGGTTAGTACTTCCGGAGTTTCCTGCATTTTCGAGTCCTACAAACTAATTCAAGAACAGGGTTGCCGCGTATATCAAGGAACACAGTAAAGCTTCCCAAGATACTCAACTCATCATGTAAAACCAGGGTTCCCTCACACTGGCAACGCTCCCCTCTCTCTCTCTCTCGCCCTCTCTCTCTCGCAATCCCTCACAACCAAGTGCACAGACTGCGGAGTATGAAAGACTGCTTCCTCTTCATCAGACCAAAATGCACCTGAAATAAGAAGCTGAATCGATACACCGACTTGAAACATCCCTTAGTGGATGACATCATGATCAAATGCATGTTGAGGCTGTTGAGGATGGCAGGATTCCAAGACAAAATAATGGGCAAGCCATGGAGACGTCGATCCGGGGAGCTTGCGGCTTCTGCATCACATTCTGGAAAACAAGATGCTGTCAGTAGCGAGAGTGGGTAGAGTACACTACAAGTAGCCGTGCCATAAAAATGCGCAGAGGGTGTGAAGACTGCAGATCACTAAACATCCCTCCCTCCATGATTTTGTTTTAAACCAGGTCATCTACTGTAACCATCAAAACATGCCAGTCAGAGTCGGTGCAGCTCGACAAAAGCACTCACACATTGGGATTCCGCTCGAACGACACATTCTTTGGCTCGAGGCTTGCTATCCAGCTGCGCAGTTGATAAGGTCTTCCGGGTCAGTCGACGGAATTGAGAGAAAAAGGAATAACACGCTCTGGGAGCAGAACGGTTCTCACCGCGTAGGCAGTGAATGAGCACCTTTCGGCCTAAACAGCACTGAAGCAGCACAGGATCTCCCACACACTGGGGCCCTGTTCCCACCTGCAGCGACCTGCTCCTGCAAGAATGCGACGGCTGCGGGCATGTGCTGGCCTGGTCTTCAGAGCTCCAGTGCCGCTGAAAGCCCACCGCTAACCACTCGTGGCACATGTTCAGAAGTCCCGAACTGGCTCAAATGACGAAGCACAGCAGCTCATGCCATGCGCAAGATTCTCTGCAACGGACAAAGACTTTTGCGCATGCGATCGCCTATGCTTTCGCATTCTCGTACTGTGGCTGCGACCCATATCGTAGGGCTCCATGCCTGGCACTGCGACCTGCAGCCGAGATGTTCAGACGCAGATCTGATCTGACAGAATGATGGATCTGACAGCCTCGCCGTCGATGATGATAGGTTCCGCTCGGTCCCGATCCCTAGCTGGAAGTGCACAGTACCTGTGCAACGCCGACACCGCATGATGCCGTGAGTTGACATCTCAGGGCAGCAGCGACATGCGAGAATCGGGCGCACCTGATGCCAGAGATGTCCCCCAACGCGATACTTTCCGATTGCGGCAGGGCTCTGATTGATGCCTCGATCTCCTCCATCTCAAGATGCATTCATGTGAACAACATGCACTTTCAGAGATCGGTCAAGCAGGCAACTATCTTGAAAGGTAGTTTACCGAAGTCTCTGATATTGAGGGTTGCATGGCTCTGAGATGCTGATCCATACCCTCCGGCGAGAACTCCACGGAAGGGACATGAGATTTCAGCTTAGCTTTGGGCTCAAGGCTTGCATTGGGGCCATCCAGCAGAGTCCCAAGCTAAAAAGCCTTCTGGACACCGCGACCTACTCATGTCGCAAAAGACGAACTCGCAGGCAGACGCGTGAGGAACAAGCAGAAGACATAACGAGTGATGTATGACAGAAGGAGGGGTGGAGGGAGAGAGAGCGAGAGAGAGAGAGAGCGAGACAGACAGAGAGAGAGAGAGAGAGAGAGAGAGACGGAGAGAGACGGAGAGAGACGGAGAGAGACGGAGAGAGACGGAGAGAGACGGAGAGAGACGGAGAGAGACGGAGAGAGACGGAGAGAGACGGAGAGAGGGCGGGATGGCGAGAGGGGGAGCGGGAGACGGGGAGAGGGGGAGAGGGGGAGAAGGGGAAAGGGAGAGAGGGAGAGAGGGAGAGACGGAGAGAGGGAGAGAGGGAGAGAGGGAGAGAGGGAGAGAGGGAGAGAGGGAGAGAGGGAGAGAGGGAGAGAGGGAGAGAGGGAGAGAGGGAGAGAGGGCGAGAGGGAGAGAGGGAGAGAGGGAGAGAGGGCGAGAGCGAGACAGAGACATAAAGAAGTAGGGAAACAGAGAGATAGACAGAGAGATAGGATACAGACAGGGAGAGACAGCGAGATAGAGAGATAAACAGAAGGTAGATTGAAAATAGAGAATAGGGAGATAACTAGATAAGCAGATAGCTACAGAGACAGAGAAACAGAGAAAGAAGTAGAGACTCCAGTCGTTCGGAAGCGACTCTACGACTGTAACGGCCCGTTACGGCATGGGAGTGTCCACCAAACAAACTCTTACACAGCGCTGTCTTCTGCACTCTCGGGCCCCCTGCCGGAAGACGACAAGCTGCGGCAGAACCACAGTGGCCATTGCGGACCTCGCTTCTGGAACTTTGCATTGCGAGCTAGTGGTTGCTAGACCGGCAGCCTTGTACAGCCAGTCATCCAATGCGCAGTTGACCACAGCGGCCACCTGCAGCCTCTTTAGTCGGCAGGCAAGGCTTAAGCGAGAGAGTTCAGAGAGTGCCGGACGTATTCTCTCCGAGCAGCACATCGGCGCCATCTTCCTGCACCACGGGGGAGCTCTCTCGCTGCATGCGCTCTCTGCCACTGTCCTGAGTCCCGACCAACACGTCTGGGAAGCCAGGCAGTGGGCTGGCCGGAAGCAGCCTCAAAGCCTGTGCAAATCTTCGCGATATTGCTCTCAAAGCGAACTCAAGACAGCCGACAGCAGGGTCAGGACACGCGACCTCTGACGGCTCGAGGGACATGTCACGTTCATTTGATCGTCACGCAAGATAGCTTTATTCCTGAGGGCTTACTGTGTCTCAACATCTCTGACGGGGACGAGCTGCACGGTTTCTGTAATGACGCATGCAAACACTAAACAAGCTTCGTCTTCCCGAAGGGTGGAAGGTATCCGGGGGCGCATCCTGGTGTCTTGTGAACATCAAACCGAGTTGAGGGTATCGGCAGCTGACTCATTCTGGCCGAGTCTCATGTGCTCCAGTGCTCTTTTATGCATCCAAGCAAGCTTCGAGCATCATGAAGAAGAACAAGCACCAGTGCAGACACATTGTTCACCTGTGCATTACAACAGTGAGATCTCGGCTTTCATCTGCGGAGCGACTAAGTCGAGCAAGGCAGGTGAAACGTTGGCACGTTCTCGAGGAAGCAGCTCTGAAACCCGTCTCAACCCAACTTCTAGCTCGAAGTCTGGATGGCTCCATCTGTGGATTGGTATATGTCCGCTTCCCCTGTCGTCTCGTGGCTCGGGAGGATCGCGCAAAGTTGGCTGCATCCCGCTGGCAGCATGCCGAGACTAGCCTCAGATGAGTAGAGAGAGGGAGAGGGAGAGGGATTGATAGGTAGAGAACGAATGACGAAAAAGCAGCCAGGGAAAGAAGTCGACAAACAAAAGTCTCAGAGTGAAAGGCGTTTCCTCTCCTTCGACTCGAAGTTTGGCATTTGGGTGGGGCTGCGTGACAAAGAGGCAGCTGCCGAACAGATGCCTGGCTTGGTTAGTTAGCACTATGCTCCCGTAGGTGTCTGGCTCTTTTCGGCGAGTCTTCTCACAACCTGCAGGCAGTCAGCATCTGGGAAGTCCTGCACAGCTTCGCACCCGTCACACATCTCTCGGCTCTCTCCGAATGCTGCCGATGTGCTTCAAAAGTCTATAGAAATCTAGAAGTCTCTTTAAACACCGCCGCTTGTGGGCCATGAAACCAGCGGCTGTACAAGCACTTCATGAAGCCAAGTGCATACAGCTCCTACCCGCAGCGCTCTAGAGAAGCACTGCTGCACGGTGTTCGTGCTGTCACTGGCTTTGCCAAGGACGAAAGGAGACATGTCTCAACTTCCGTCCTATCCCTGCAGCCTTCCGTCCTTTCCGCGTGGGCGAAGACCACCAGTTCGCAGCGTAGCACGTCACAGCCGTCACAGCTCTACAGCGTGGCCACCTTAGCAAACTCCCGGCCCTCAGTATTCAGATTACTCAGTATGCTCAAAGAGACCTGACAACCTGACTGTGCCAGCGAAGCACCACCTGTTGGCGTTGGAGGCACAGGCTGTCCTGCACAAGCCCCGAAGGGAACATGCTGCCGAATCCTGAACACTTTCACTTGGATGTCCTTTCTTCGCATACTCCTCGTAATTGCGGCTCACCTACCCCGAGACGGGGTCATGTCGTGAAGTCGAACTCTAGATGCACCTCTGGCAAATTAGCCAACAGAATCCACAACACCAAGCCTTCTTCCAGTTAACCACATTCCAGAACGCGGACACCTGAGGTCACAGCCACTTGTACTCGCAAATGACGCTTGCCCATCAGCGGGAAAACTCTCAAAACTCTCACCTACTCTCCTCTTCAAACAAATCCAGCAACGTAATCAGCACGGCGATTCTGGTACTTCAGGTAGTAAGCGTGCTCCCAGACATCCAAGCCCAAGATAGGAATCAGCTTCTCAACACTGTACTCCAAACCCTCCATGAGCGGATTGTCCTGCACGGCAGTATGCATCCAGAAATTCGGAAGCAAATGCCTAACCATGTGAGAGTCGGTTGCAACAGCTCTAGACGGCGATAACGATAGCCATGGTCCCGACCTGATTAGCAGTGGAGGTCACGGCCAAGGAGCCCTGCAGGCAGACGATGATCGTGCAAACTTGCGTGCACCAGCAGATGGAATTGGAGAGGCTTGCAACACGGCCTGAGGTGTCACACCCAGCCAAGCCCAGCCACTGCCAAACCGACCCATTGCCGCCTTTGCGAAGGCCTGCAGCAAGGAAGCTACACAGCAGATACGAGCAGCAAGACGCAACAGACGCCGGCACACGAAAGCTGAAAAGTAGCCGACGCAAAAGACGGAATTGAAACCTAGAACTGGAAGAGCCATGAATACAAACGCCCGGTCGTGGGTTGAGTAGCTTACCTGAGCAGGTAGCCACCAATGCATGAAGACTTGACATTTGCAAAGCTGCCAGATGCCACAGAGCATCCGCTCGTAACTCCGCACTGATGACAATGCAGATGCACGATCACACGCATTCCAAGTCCATAAACTCACAACGCATCCCGTCTACAAGACAAATGTGCTTGACAGTGTCGTCTGAATGCTCTCCAAGCATTCAGCATGGAGAAAGACCGCGGAGCAAGCGAGACGCGCTCCCATCCCTGCCTCCTTGAGGCCATCGAGGCTTCCGAACTTGTCGTCGATGGCCGCTGCGAGGTCAGGGGAAGGTTCCGAGGAGCCGCTGGCCGGCGCCAGGTTCACCTCTGCGTGGACGGGACCGCCGACGGAACCGCCGTTTTGGGGCTGTGTAAACAGAGACGGGCGGCCCAGAAGAGCGCGTGGTTGTAATGGCCCCCACCATGGTTCCGGTGTGCTGCTCCCGTCTTTGCTGCGTTAGGCTGCAAACTTGTCAAAGCTGTCATGCTTCCTCGGTCGGAGCACAATCACTTGCTCAGATTTCCAATGCCCACCTCACCTCAAAACCACGGCATTCATTTCATCCAGCTTGCCATCTTTTGTAGACTTGCTGATGGCAGCGTTCAGGCCAGCGACATAAGCAGCATGGTGCTTCCTGAGTACACATGACTTTGACAATGACACAGATCTCGCGGGCCCTGAACACATAGATGTTTGATTTTACCCCCGAGCCTACTAAGATGTGCCAAACCTCCCATGGTGAATCTTCATCGTTTCCGCATCGATGTGAGGCTCCAGCGCGTCGTACCTGGAGCTTAAACCCGAAAGTCTCATGGGCGACACGGACCAAGAACAAGGCTGATTGTAGTATTTTTAGTCTTGCAACAAGCACCTGAGTGTGGATCTGGGGCTTGACTTTCATCGTACTTCAAGCTCTTCATTCTGGCGCAAATGCTGCGTGCGGATTAGGACTCAAGAAGAGTACATCCGAATCCTTCCGCGTTGTTGTTGGGGACACGTGTCGTCTTCATGCGTCGCCCTCTCCTACCGCTGCCCCCCGCCGTCTGCACTGAACCCCCTTGTTCGCAAGGAACCCGCATCAAGACAGGCAAGAAGGCAGCAGCAAAGAGCATCGTCAGCCATTGCAGATCAGTCAGGACTCTTGAATCCCAGGCGTTCCTGCCCCGTAGCAGAGAAACTGCTGAATCTGTCAACAGCAAATCAAGACTTTTCGTGCCGCTCCCAACAAGTACGTGCACTTATGCCATCATGATCATGCCTCATGAGAAACGTAACAGAAGTCTGCAGATATCTCAACCTTATCGCAGAAGGACTCTGCGTTGGACGTACCAGTATGATGTGCCGTGCTGCTCATACGGCAAAGCCGGCAAGGTGAAGACATCGCCAGCATGCAGGCCACTGGCCGCAAGAGACACCAGCCAACAGCGAAGCCCCAGCATGGCGGCGACGACTTGAGACTAACAGCTGCAGTCGAGACAAGACCATAATCTCTCTTCGCCTCTCGGGCACATCCTGTCTTGCCGATGCCTGCCTCTGCTGCAGCAGTTGCCACGCGATTCTGGACGGACTCCTCCCAGTTCGGATTGTTCATCCTGCGAGCATGTGCACGCTTGCAGTCAGCTCCAGCAAACGTGAAGGTTCAGCATGTCCTCAGCTGTGTATGAGCAGGTGCATCCTGGTACCTTATAACGGCCAGTGTCCATGCTAGGGGTCTCGGGTCTCTGTTTGCAACTGCACTCAGGGCTGTACACTCCGTGCTCGAAGGCAGTTGCTGCCTGCAGGACGGCAGAGCTCAGCCGGGCCGGGGCCCGGGGCCGAAGAGACCCGGCCTCGCTCAAGAGCTTCTCGCAGAAGTCATTGTTCAGGTAGAAGGCCTCAAGTCAAAAGAGTGCTGGAAAACCGTGCAGTACTGCGTAAGTCTCGACACTTCCTCGGGACGCAAGCCGTGCAGAGCTCGGGAGACTTGGCAAACGTCTGAAGCAAAACTTTCTCTGCCTCAGTTTCGTCTTCGTCCAGATGACCGACTCTTGATCCAATCTTATCTGAGCCACGGGCTTCGTAGACACTGCTTGGCCAGGACGGCCGTCCTGTGCATGCAGCGCCGTGGTGCATTTGCCGTCGTGCATTGGGTTGACCTTGCCTCGCATGTGATGCTTCACTCGGACACGAAGAATTCGTCGATCCTGCATAAACGGATCCAAATGTGCGAGAGTTTCATGTCCAGGCTAATGATCATCGCAGGTCTACAGTCTGAGATGGGGGTGCCTCTGCACTCAAGTGCCTTTTGTAGTTGGAACACATGTTGTCCGGGTCGCGGGTGGAGACAGGATACTGGACCTCATCAACCAGAGGGTCGTCCAGAATGGGATGCACGTCTGTGATCAAGGCTTCTGGACCTGCTCTGAGCATCCAGCTACCGAGCTGATGCTGTTGCCCGTGCCCAGCTGGCCCTGGAGCGTGGCCTGCCATGCGTGCACAGATGCAAAATACCTTTTGCCGGCCGTGCAAAGCTGAAGTTTTTTTGTCACGACTACTTGCGCATCGTTGCACTTGAAAGTCTGCAAGTGCTACTTTGATGTGCATCGTGCGCAACCTGGATGTGGGTCAGCCTGTGCGATTGCAGACGGGGTGCCAGCGAGTTTGATCAAATAGGTGTCCAGCGCGTCTCCCCGACAGACCCAAACGACTTGAGGCCATGGGACGGGGTATCAGCCTGAGCAGGTCCTCGGCCACAAGCCTCCACAAGCTACGACAAGCTTGAAATATTGATGGTGCATTGGTGCATGTTGCTTAGCTTCCAGAGAGAAATTTCCTCAACATCTC